GCCATGAACATAGGTGTGCATATGTCTATTCGAGTGACGACTCTTATTTCTCTAGGATATATTCCTAGGAGTGGGATTGCTGGATCGAATGGTATGCCTATTTCTAGCTTTTTGAGGAAGCGCCATATCATTTTTCAAAATGGTTGTAGTAACTGGATTTTTAAAGAAAAAAACAAAAGAATAATTTGGGAATTTAGGCAAAGAGAACACGTGACTTAAAAAATTTTTTTTTAATATGCATTAGGTGTAAGTTTAAACAGCAAATCAGTTTCCCATTTAATAATTTGTACATAAAGTGTTCCATAACATTGGTTTCATTCTCCACAATGTGTCAGCACTCTCCCCACTTCCATCCTAGTTTCCCTGTTTCCTTTTTTCCTGATTTTCTATCCCTTCCTGCCTTCTCATCTTTGCTTTTGGGCAAATATTGCCCTTTTGATCTTGTATAATTGATTGTTCTAAGGAGTACGTTCCTCTCGGGTGTTATTGTTTAAATTGTGGGCCTGTCTATGGTTTGGCTGAAAGGTGGTCTCCAAGAATGGCTTCAGTTCCAGTTTAGAAGGGTGTCTTAGGGCCATAGTCTCAGGGGTTCCTCCAGTCTGCCAGACTAGTATGTCTGGTCTTTTTGTTGAATTTGATTTTTTGTTCTACAGTTTTTCTCCTGCTTTTTCCCGAACGCTCTGTTGTGATCCCAGTCAGAGCAGTCAGTAGTGGTAGCCAGGCATCATCTAGTTCTTCTGGTCTCAGGATCATGTATGCTGTGGTTCATGTGGTCCATCAGTCCTTTGGACTAATTGCTCCTTTTATCTTTGGTTTCCTTCACTTTCCTTTGCTCCGAATGGTAAGAGACTAATAGATGTATCTTACATGGCTGCTTGCAAGCTTTTAAGACCTCAGACACTACTGATCAAAGTTGGGTGCAGAACTTTATCTCTATGAAGTATATTGTGCCAATTGACATAGATGACTATGGTCCTTCACCTTCAAGCCTAGGAACTTTGTCCCACAAGATGTTTGGTTATGTCTAAGAAGTTGCCCTGACTGTTGCCCTTGTGTGCTCTATTGTCTATAGTAATATATAAACAGCACCTACAGTTGTGTATGTAGAAATATCCACCCCCAAACCTACATCTGCAGGTGGGTGTATTCCATTACACTCTCCCACAAGTCTTGGTATACCTATCTGCCTATGTATCCATTCGTAAGTTAGTGTTTATTAACACTATTGTTGAAGAATTGTCTGTGTTGCAATTACCCTGTCGCTGTTTGTTCCGTCGTTCTTCTTGATGTCCTCCCATTCCTTACTCCTATTTTGCTGACTTCCCCCATATAGTGTACTGCCTTCACCAATATTAGCATCTGTCTTCTATCTATCTGGTAATTTTCCTCCCTCACCCTCTTATCCCTGGTAACCATCAAAGAATTTTTTTCTCTGTGTGTAAACCTTTTCTTTATAATAGTGGTCTCATAGAATATCTGTCCTTTTGTGATTGACTTATTTCACTCAGCATAATGTTCTCCAG